GATGAGGCAGGCTGAGGCTGAGGCTGATGCAGGCTGAGGCTGAGGCAGGCTGAGGCTGAGGCCGAGGCTGAAGGCAGACTGAGGCTGAGGCTGAAGCAGGCTGAGGCTGAGGCTGAGGCAGGCTGAGGCTGAGGCTGAGGCAGGATGATGCTGAGGCAGGCTGAGGCTGAGGCTGAGGCTGATGCAGGCTGAGGCTGAGGCAGGCTGAGGCTGAGGGCAGGCATGAGGCGGAGCCGAGGCTTTTTTTTTGACAGGCAGGATGGAAGCTGAGGCTGAAGCAGGCTGAGGCTGCAGCTGGGCAGGCTGAGGATGAGGCTTGAGCAGGCTGAGCTGATGCAGGTCTGAGGCTGAGGCCTGAGGGCTGATGATGCAGGCTGAGCTGAGCAGGCGGACGCTGAGGATGATGCTGAGGCAGGCTGAGCTGAGGCTGAGGTGATGCAAGGCTGACGGCTGAGGCAGGCTGAGGCTGAGGCAGCTGATGCTGAGGCTGGCGATGTGAGGCAGGCTGAAGGATGAGGCTGAGCGATGCAGATGAGGCTGGAGCCAGGCTAAGGCGGAGGCTGAGGCTGAAGCAGACTGAGGCTGAGGCTGAGGTAGGCTGAGGCTGAGGCTGAAGCAGGCTGATGCTGAGGCAGGCTGAGGCTGAGGCTGAGGCTGATGCAGGCTGAGGCTGAGGCAGGATGAGGCTGAGGCCGAGGCTGAAGGCAGACTGAGGCTGAGGCTGAAGCAGGCTGAGGCTGAGGCTGAGGCTGAGGCAGGCTGAGGCTGAGGCTGAGGCAGGCTGATGCTGAGGCAGGCTGAGGCTAAGGCTGAGGCTGATGCAGGCTGAGGCTGAGGCCGAGGCTGAAGGCAGACTGAGGCCGAGGCTGAGGCTCAGGCTGAGGCTGAGGCTGAGGCAGGCTGAGGCTGAGGCTGAGGCAGGCTGAGGCTGAGGCAGGCTGAGGCTGAGGCTGAGGCTGATGCAGGCTGAGGCTGAGGCAGGCTGAGGCTGAGGCCGAGGCTGAAGGCAGACTGAGGCTGAGGCTGAAGCAGGCTGAGGCTGAGGCTGAGGCAGGCTGAGGCAGAGGCTGAGGCAGGCTGAGGCTGAGGCAGGCTGAGGCTGAGGCTGAGGCTGAGGCAGGCTGAGGCTGAGGCAGGCTGAGGCTGAGGCCGAGGCTGAAGGCAGACTGAGGCTGAGGCTGAAGCAGGCTGAGGCTGAGGCAGAGGCAGGCTGAGGCTGAGGCAGGCTGATGCTGAGGCAGGCTGAGGCTGAGGCTGAGGCTGATGCAGACTGAGGCTGAGGCAGGCTGAGGCTGAGGCCGAGGTTGAAGGCAGACTGATGCTGAGGCTGAAGCAGGCTGAGGCTGAGGCTGAGGCATGCTGAGGCTGAGGCAGGCTGAGGCTGAGGCTGAGGCAGGCTGAGGCTGAGGCTGTGACTGCGACTGCCGTTGCCGCTGCGGCTGTCATCGCGAATGCGACTACGACTGCGAGAACGGCAGAATTCTACAACTGGATTTTCGTCTGAATCTTAAGGGGAATGCTTTCATATATGCTTCTACACATCGCTGTTAGGTTGCTTTGCCGGGATAATTACCTAACAGCGAAGACTGATAGGTTTCTAGTGGGATCAAAAGAGAGCAGCAGATCACTCCACAGGGGGTCCGGGCAGATGTTGGGAGTTGCCGGGCGGCAGGTGCCGGGCTCGTTTTTCACCAACAGTCACACACTTCGTGCTCTTCGCCTTCCCAGAACTCCATTCCCAGGCCACATTCTGAATACCCGGATGCAACAGTCACACACTTCGTGCTCTTCGACATCCCAGAACGCCATTCCCGGGCCACATTTGGAATAACCGGAAGAGGCCTGAGCCAGCCTGAGGCTGACGCCGAGGCTGAAGGCAGAATGAGCTGAGGCTGGAAGGAGGCAGGCTTGACGCTGAGGCAGGCTGGAGGCTGAGGAGGCTGAGGCCTGAGGCTGAGGCAGGCTGAGGCGCTGAGGCTTTGTCTGCGACTGCCGTTGCCACTGCGACTGTCATCGCGAAAACGACTACGACTGCGAGAACAGCAGAATTCTACAACTGGATTCTCATCCGAATCTTAAGGGGGATGCTTCCAGATATGCTCCTACACATCGATGTTAGGTTGCTTTGCCGGGATAATTTTCTTTGTGGGATTTACCTAAACAGCGTAGTACTGATAGGTTTCTAGTGACTTCCAAAAGAGCTCACAGATCACTCCACAGGGGGGTCCGGGCAAGCGTTGGGAGTTGCCGGCCGGGCCTGTGCCGGGCTCGTTTTTCACCAACAGTCACACACTTCGTGCTCGTCAACCTCTCAGAACCCCATTCCCAGGCCACATTCTGAATAGCCGGATGCAACAGTCACACACTTGGTGCTCTCGAGTTCCCAAGAGAACCCATTCCGGGCCACATTTTGAATTGCCCGAGCCAACTGTTAGGCCACTTCGTGGTCTTCGAGTTCCCAGAACTCCATTCCTGGGCATGATTTTTGAATGCCCCGAGGCTAACTGTAGGCCACTTAGTTGGTGTTCGAGTTCCCAGAACTCCATTCGTGTGCATGATTTTGATGCCCGGAGCCAACTGTAGCGCCATTCGTGGTGTTTCGAGTCCCAGAAACTCCATTCTTGAGGCATGAATTTTGAATGCCCGGAGAGCAAACTGTAGGCCATTTCGTGTTCTTCGAGTTCCCAGAACTCCAGTCCCGGGCCACTACTTTGAATGCTGATGCAGGCGATGCTGCGGCTGAGGCTGATGCAGGCTGAGGCTGAGGCAGCCTGAGGATGAGGACGAGGCTGAAGGCAGACTGAGGCTGAGGCTGAGGCAGACTGAGGCTGAGGCTGAGGCTGAGGCTGATGCAGGCTGAGGCTGAGGCTGAGGCAGGCTGATGCTGAGGCAGGCTGAGGCTGAGGCGGAGGCTCATGCAGGCTGAGGCTGAGGCAGGCGGAGGCTGAGGCCGAGGCTGAAGGCAGACTGAGGCTGAGGATGACTGAAGCAGGCTGAGGATGAGGCTGAGGCAGGCTGAGGCTGAGGCTGATGCAGGCTGATGCGAGGCAGGCGGAGGTGAGGCCGAGGCTGATGCAGGCTGAGGCTGAAGGCAGGCTGAGGCTCTAGGCCAAGGCTCTGGAGGCAGGACTGAGGCTGAGGCTGAAGCAGGCTGAGGCTGAGGCTGAGGCAGGCTGAGGCTGAGGCTGAGGCAGGCTGATGCTGAAGCAGGCTGAGGCTGAGGCTGAGGCAGGCTGAGGCTGAGGCTGAGGCAGGCTGATGCTGAGGCAGGCTGAGGCTGAGGCTGAGGCTGATGCAGGCTGAGGCTGCAGCAGGCTGAGGCTGAGGCCGAGGCTGAAGGCAGACTGAGGCTGAGGCTGAAGCAGGCTGAGGCTGAGGCCGAGGCAGGCTGATGCTGAGGCTGAGGCAGGCTGATGCTGAGGAAAAGGTTGAGGCTGAGGCAGGCTGAGGCTGAGGCTGAGGCAGGCTGAGGCTGAGGCTGAGGCAGGCTGATGCGGAGGCAGGCTGAGGCTGAGGCTGAGGCTGAGGCTGAGGCTGATGCAGGCTGAGGCTGAGGCAGGCTGAGGCTGAGGCCGAGGCTGAAGGCAGACTGAGGCTGAGGCTGAAGCAGGCTGAGGCTGAGGCTGAGGCAGGCTGAGGCTGAGGCTGAGGCATGTTGAGGCTGAGGCAGGCTGAGGCTGAGGCTGAGGCTGAGGCAGGCTGAGGCTGAGGCAGGCTGAGGCTGAGGCCGAGGCTGCAGGCAAACTCAGGCTGAGGCTGAAGCAGGCTGAGGCTGATGCTGAGGCAGGCTGAGGCTGAGGCTGAGGCTGAGGCAGGCTGATGCTGAGGCAGGCTGTGGCTGAGGCTGAGGCTGATGCAGGCTGAGGCTGAGGCAGGCTGATGCTGAGGCCGAGGCCGACGGCAGACTGAGGCTGAGGCTGAAGCAGGCTGAGGCTGAGGCAGAGGCAGGCTGTGGCTGAGGCTGAGGCTGAGGCAGGCTGATGCTGAGGCAGGCTGAGGCTGAGGCTGAGGCTGATGCAGGCTGAGGCTGAGGCAGGCTGAGGCTGAGGCCGAGGCTGAAGGCAGACTGAGGCTGAGGCTGAAGCAGGCAGAGGCTGAGGCTGAGGCAGGCTGAGGCTGAGGCAGGCTGAGGCTGAGGCTGAGGCAGGCTGAGGCTGAGGCTGTGACTGCGACTGCAGTTGCCACTGCGACTGCCATCGCGAATGCGACCACGACTGCGAGAACAGCAGAATTCTACAACAGGATTCTTATCTGAATCTTAAGGGGAATGCTTCCAGATATGCTCCTACACATCGCTGTTAGGTTGCTTTGCCGGGATAATTATTTGTGTGTTTGTGGGCCCCTTCACTGTTTGCCTCCTCTTTGGAGCTGGGGTCGAGCTGCGCGGGTCCCCACATGGGGGCCCGAAAAGCGCCGGGCGAAGGCGCCCGGCTCGAGCAAAAAACGCAGCGGCGGGGCCTCCGGGTGTGTCGGACGGTCTATGCTGTCGGCAAGCCGCGAGTAGGGGATCGACTACAGAATTGCTGCACCCCAAGTTTGTTTAATCGCTTCGCTCATGCCGCCGGCCCTGGAGCCCTCTTTAGGGCCTCTTGGGGGCCTCTTGGGGACCTCTTGGGAGTCTCTTGGGGCTCCTTGGCGGCGTTTTGGAGGCCCCCAGGGCCTCTTGGGGGGCTCCTGGGGGTAGTCGATTGCGGCTCCCCCCTCGGAGGCCACGATCCTCGTGAGGGGTGTCGAAAAATACCCTCCCCTGGAGTGGTCTGGGGGCTTCTCGTCATATGTCACGAAAAATCCATATAGTCCTCGTTGATCTACGGAGCAATCTTCGTATCGTTCGTAGACTGGACAGAAGAATCAGTTTCGGGCAGATCAATTCTGCAGTCGATCCCCTACTCGAAAGCAGCGATCCCCCTTCAGCGTTGGGCGGCCCGCGTGGTATCAGAGGCCCTCGCCTGCGCGGCACGAGCACGCGGAAAAGAGCCTGCGCCCTCCTACCCCGCGAGGCGGTGGCGGCCGCGCAGGGCCGCGTGGCGCAGCTGGAGGAGCAGCTGCAGGCGGAGGGCGCTGCCGGAGCTGCGCCTGGCTTTGCGCAGCAGGAGTCGGGGGCCCCAGAATTCAGAGGAGGAGGAGGAGGTACCCATACATCGAAGAAGAAGGATAAACAAAAAAACAAGCAACAAAACGAAGTAAACAAAAAAAACACCATAAACATAAACGGTTGGCGCTCCGCGCGGATTTCTTGGATCCCCGCTGGGCCCCCCCGGCGGTGCCTCTGGCGCCGCGCTCCGCGCGCCAGGGAAGGGAGCCCAGCGCAGATCCAAGAAATCCGCGCGGAGTGCCAAAAGTTTATGCTTACCCTGACCTTCCAGAGAGTTATTTTTCAGCACTGGAAGCCTAAAAATCTAAAAAGCTCAGCGAAACAGCCTAAAATCAAGACGTAGAATAGCTTCGGGATAGGTTACGTCAGGTGCTATTTTTTGCCCTCCTGGAAGGTCAGAGTATGCAGTTCTTTCTTCTTCCGACACCACCCTTTCCCTCGTTTTCCCCCTTTGGGGGCCTCCCGGGAGGCGCTCGACGCCACCGCTGGAGTTGCCTCGAAGTCCGAGTCAGAGCGCACCCCGGGAGAGACTGGGGGAGGAGCAGCAGAATCGGCAAGTCTCGGTTCCCCCACGAATGATGCGGCTTGAAACGGGTCTGGAGGGAAACGGGTCCGAAGGTTCTTCGCCGCAGTTGGCTTCCAGGGGCCCTCCACGGGCCCCGGGGGCCCTCGGAGAAGGGCGCGGGACGAAGGGCTGGTCTTGGGAGGGGGGGGACCCCAGGGTCCGGGGCTCGTTTCCCGCAGGACCAGGTTGTCTCATATTGATGCGGTGACCGCGCCGCGTGGTGAGTCAGTGGCGATTTTTCGGGGGCGGCACAAAGGGGGGGGTGATGACCAGGGGGGGGGATACCATGGCGGGGGCCATGATGTTTCCCCAGATTTCATGGCGCCTCGTCTTATTTCATTACGTCCCTGGCCCCCCTGCTGGGCCGCGCACATGCCGCCGGTCATGATTTGCACCCCCCCGCTCTTGGAGACCCCCCTCTTGGCCGCTCCCGAATTTTGGAACTCGGGTCGTTCTCGGAGGACGTGCAGGGCTGGGGCCTCCGAGGTCCCTGGCGAGCTTGCGAGCAGGGGGCGTGGGGTGCCCGAGAACGTTGTCCGACTCCGGCGGCCGAATCGGAAGCCCGCTCGCAACAAGTCGGCGGGCACTGGCACGTCGAGCTCGCACGGCGCGTCCAGACCGGGGCAGAGAAAAAAGTTCGCGGCGCGAGTCGCTTGCGGCACCCACATCCTCCGAATGCGTCGTTGTAGCGACTCGGATGTCGGCTCCAGAAACCGCCCCCTGCCACCTGGACCCCATTCTGTGGGCTGACCAAGCAAGACCACTTGGCATCGCTCGGACGTGTGCATTTTTCCTTCGGCGAGGACTCTCGAGGAGCATCCTTGATCATTTGGCGAAAAAGCACGCACGAAACCAAAAGAAAGACACAGGGAATGCACGTCCGAGCGATGGCCAGACCATGCGAGCGATGGCCGGACGTGCGAAAACCACGTCCGAGCGATGGCCAGACCCTGCGGTGAGGTCTTCGAGGCCTCCGAGAGGCCACCGCGCGATCTGCCGCCACCTCTGGCTTTGGCTTCTGGCGCCCCCGCAGGAGGCCGAGCGGCTGGGCCGCCTGGAGGGCGCGCTGGAGGCTCGCCCATGGGACGGCGGCGACGGCGCCCGGCGACGGCGCCGGCGACGCGCTCGGGAGGCAGCGACGGCGACGGCCAGGAGGTGGGAGACGGAGGGAGGAGGGAGGGGGAGGGAGGGAGGGGGGAGGGGGAAGATAGGGGAAGAGGAGGGGGAGGAGGGGGAGGGGGAGGAGGGGGAGGGGTGAGGAGGAGGAGGGGGGAGGGGAGGAGAGGAGGAGGAGGAGGAGGAGGAGGAGGAGGAGGAGGAGGAGGAGGAGGAGGAGGAGGACCAGTGTAAACCCAAGAGTCGTCAACGATGTTGGAGTAAACCCTCCCTCCAAGCTCCCTCTTCTTAGGCCCCCACAACGGTTCATTTCCATTGAGGGAAATGCCCTTTTGGAAGACAACCGTTCGAAGACCCTGAAGCATGCCAAAACAGTGTTCTCGGGATTTCAACGCCACGGATGAACCTGACTGTTGCGTCTTGACAATCTTGAATCGTGCCAGAAAGCCATTCTTGGGCCTCCAACACGACGAAGAAACATACCTGCTGCACCCGCATAATCCTAAATCCTTTCAAAACTTCTGGCGCGTTGATGATTGGAATCCGTAAAACTCTGGCAAATGTTGTAAACGAATATGCGCGGCGCTAAGGCGAGAGCCACATTTTGAAAAGGGACCGCCCTCAATCCGCGAAACTGTTGCAACTGTTTTAAACGAATGCGCGCAGCCCCCCTGCTGCGAGAGCCGCATTTTGAAAACGATCCGCCCTCAATCCGTGAAATCCTTGCAAATGTTTTTTTTTTTAAATACATATATATATATATATATAAAAAAAAAAAAAAAAAAAAAAAAAAAAAAAAAAACGAATGTACGCCGCGCTCAGGCGAGAACTTCGCGGCGAGAACCACATGAAAACGACCCGCCCTCAACCCGTAATAAAGCTCTTGCAAATGTTTAACACGAATGTGCAGCGCGCTAAGGCGAGAACCACATTTTGAAAACCGCCCGCCCTCAATCCGTGAAACTCTTGCACATGTTTTACACGAGTGCACGCCGCGCTAAGGCGAGAGCCACATTTTGAAAACGACCCGCCTTAAATCTGTGAGACTGTTGCAATCGGGATGCGACAGGGAGAAGTTATTCCCCAA